AAGTATCGGTGAGCTGCTTTCATAGGATTAATAGAGTGAAAATATCTCCGTCGATATTTATAATATGATTTTATTTTCAAGTTCAATTACAGGATCAACTTCAATCCTCTTGTTAAATATTTGGGGGTATTCTACTGTAGAAGCATGAATTTTGCCCGTTTTTGAAGCGCTGTATAAAGAAAACAAATTAATTTTTTACTATCGATTTTTTCATCATTTGTTTATTGATATTTTATTATTACATAAAAAAATTATTAAGAAAAAATTAGAATTCACAAAGTTATGAGCAGTCAAGTGGGGGCTCAAAAAAAGAGGGTGTCTTGGCGTGCATGATTCCAACCCTCCTGGTGATCCGAAACATAAAAATAGATGGATTCTTAATTATTATAGATGCCGCTATCGTATGAACTTGGATAGTTAAAAAAAATTTTTTGTTTGAATGGCGGCAGTTTGAAAAAAAAAATTTTTTTTTATGTTTTTTTTTAACAATTCCGAATTTTTTAAAAATACTAAATGAAAAGTTATAGTTTTGGGAAAGGCCATGCGATACGCGATGTATAGAGAAGATCCTCTCCAAATTTGAAGTAAATCGGTTCATTAGAACTCGAGATATCTTTACCGCCAGCTCGAAAAAAGTAGTTCCGAGAAAACCGCGTTCAAAGTTTTGAGACAAGTCGGACCCGAACCGAGGCCACGTCACTAAAACGGCTATAACTCAGGAAATAATAGTAATATTGAAAATCCTTTTAATGACATATTTTTGAATAACTAATCTTTGAAATATGAAAAAAATTTTTTCGATTTTTTCAAAATTCTACAGTAGAATACCCCCTTAATTGGCAAATTTAAATAAAAAAATTAAATATAATAGGATATTAAGCTATATCATTATCATTTAAATGTTTTTTTAAGACATTGCTTATGTAGAAACATTATAAAAAAATAAGTTACAATTTTGCTCTGTTTGACTGCAAGATTTTTCATTTCACATTACCAAGGAATGTGATTATCTTTTTTAGCCCACTCCCCCAAAGAAGCCTCCGCGTCGAAATCTGTCAGTATCACCCACACATCTCACCCCGTTGTCTTCTTCGTGTACTGGTACAAGTACAGGCGCCGGTACGCCTGGATCGCTGACAGGCGCATACGAATACCTGTTCTTAGCACGAAGTGGGGTTCGCAGTCATGGGGATCTTGACACCCTTACTGCCGGCTTGAGTCTGGGTCAAGAGGATTTTTTGCGAGTTGCTGAAGCTTCAGATTACGTCCCGATGAGAATGCAGAATCCTCGGCGTAAACTTAAGCGGCATCCTGACGCATCTAGTCGCGGCAATGCATCTGTGGCAACGCCTTTGAGTCCGACACACTACCAACAACCGCCGACTCCTGAGCATCCACCACCATCAGCGCTTCAGGCTGAAAAGAGCATACATGAACGTATCAGGCCGCTAAGTCAGGTTTGTGAATAGAATTCATCTTATGAGAGTTATTCAAAGGTTTCTTTGTGTTTATAGTTTCAAATATTCAATTGCATTTTTGACAGACAGCGTTTATCCTATGTATCTACAGTATTTAGAATGCTTTTATATCTAATGTAAAGAATTTTTGTCAAGTGACAAATTATTTTATTATTCCTGTGACGCGACTTATTGTGATATTACACAACATAGACTGTGCAATTTTGACAAATCGTAATATTTAAAATGTTAATGTTACTTTATATATGATACCGGGGTTAATGAGTATTAGGAAATAGTTTTTATTTAGATGTAAATATAAACAAACCGACTTCCATGATTAGAGTTATAGTACCTATGTTAAAAAAATTGACCTAATATTATGCTAATAATGTAAATTAGCATTTGTGATCATGTTGCCATTAAAATACATCTGCGTGTGGGTGTACGATCTCTTATTGTTAGTATAAGAATTCACTTTCATTTTGTGATCATCTTCGTGATTTATGTTGTGATGTATAAAGTAAAATAATCAAATTGTTAGTAGTTTATTTAACACAATCGTTAATTCAAGTGTCCTTATAATAAAGAATATTATATAGCGTGATAACATCTTATAGAGTAATCAAATATTTAATGCTTTCGCTACGGCAGTATTTTAAGCAGGAGTGACACTGCTGTATAGAGCAGCGGGCCTCCCAATAGCGCTTCTGAATGAACCAAGCACAAAAACATAATTTATCAGATCATTTAATTAAAATTATCAATAAAACTATATTTAAAAAATACAAATTTCACTTGTCAAGAACTAAAAATTATAATTGTCAATAATTTAACTCGAGTGATGAATATTGAAGCCAGATTTGAAACACTGGATATCGTCTATAGGCGACACCCGTACATACAGGTCGTTATGTGAATATCGTCTATAGACGACCCTCGTACACACAGGTAGTCACGTGGATGTCGTCTATAGGCGACGCTCGTAGCGAAAGGATTAATAGTGATATAATGTATGCATTTTGTCTAATATTTCCGTATATTAAACATATGAATGCAATGTAGCATGATTGAAGCATGTTTATAGCCATTTTTGCATAATGAATGATTACAGTTTCGATTAAATATTATATGTATATGTATGTGCATTTTGTAGAAAACTCATTATATATCATTTATTGTGCATGCTGAAACATTTGGTTGGGAGAGGGCACTATATATGTATATTTAGGGCGGATCAAATTCTATGGGCCAAAAAGTTTATCGGTGCACATCGCGATATTGGTTTCGTTATTTCAAGAATTTCAAATAGTTGTTGTCTCTAAATATTTAAATATTATTTTACAAGACTAGGTTATAGAGATGATTGTCAAAACAAATTTCTTAAAATATTATAGGCTTTTGAAGTGTTTAACCTTTAAATATTATTTTATTTTTATTATAAGTTCATGTATAAACATTATTTCTCTATAAAATTTCACATGCTCAAATTCAGTTTCAAGCTGTGGTTTCTTCGGAAAATCTTATAGAACATGAATTGCAATTGTGCCCCTTCTTGTACCAAATAATTTGACCCACTTTTTATATATGTTATGCATATATGTATACATATATATATATAATATATATATATATATATATATATATGTGTGTGTGTGTGTGTGTGTGTGTGTGTGTGTGTGCAATGTAAATATCTAAATTTGTTGTATAACTTACCCCAAACACGCACTCATTACAAGAAACTAGTTCGATGTATTTTCCATGAATTTTTATCCAACAAGAAGTACTTCATGTTTACTCTTCTGGGATTTTGATGAAACGCATGATGATAGATTTTAAAATCAAACTGAACACCTTAAAATATTATAGGCCTATGAAAAGTGGTTCAATTCTAAAAATTATTTAAAGTTGCGAAAAATAGATCGCGCGTGTACGTACGCGTATAGTGTTCCGTATCAATATGTCTCGATAGCTGCATCAATTAAAGAGCAGTCAGTTGCAATTTTTTGCAACTTGAATTAATTTTTATAGTATAATAGTTAAGCCACTTCTCATAGGCCTATAATATGTTAAGGTGTTTGGTTTGACTGCAAACTCTTCACCATGCGAAGTTTAATCAAAGTCCCTGAAGAGTAAACATGCGGTTTTCCTTGAAAGTTGAATCACAATAAAGTAAACAATTATAAAATCATGAAATATTTTTATTAATCATGATATAAATAAATCACCAATACGTTAAATGCATCATTGTAAATTTCTATGTCTTTGATTAACCTCTGTTTTTTTCTATATTATATGTAAATAATATTAGAATAAACTACTATATTGAAATCGAATATTTTAAATATGTTTTGTAATCACATTTTGAAATTCATTTGCTATAATAAAAGTTTCCCTAAAACAATGAAATATATATGAGGAGTTGGTGACTCAAGTGGACCATCACAAATATACCTGAACTCCATTGAACCATGTAGAAAAATTTGAAATTATATTATTCCTTTTTCTTACTATTTATATTTACATTATTTTACTTGATGCTACATAAGTGAAAATAGTCCCATAGTCTAATCTGGATTTACGTAAAACGTGGAACAACTTTATATTTAGAGATTTTTTGCTACAATTTAACGACACATATAAATATTATGTTCATTCTAGCAACGTTATTTAGTGAAAAACTTATATGCTTACTGCAACTCAGATTGCCCCGATTGCCCCGATGGACCACTCTGTTACCAACTCATGTCAACATTCAGTATTTTTCATATTATTGTAATATTTGTATGAATAGTGCTTATGTGAATACTAGTATTTAAGATATTTAGTATTGCTTACTAAAATATGTATTTTCCACTAATATATGTTATGTATTTTATATGTATTTTTTTATTTAAGAAACTCTATGCAATGTGTAAATTCTAAGTGAATTAATTATTACTTTATAATTAATTAGAACTTTCTGTTTTAAGTAGATTCAAAATGATGTGGTTATGTTTTTGGTATTGTTATGTAATTTAAATTGTTATTTGCATGCACATACATGCTATAAAAAGTTATTATGCACCATGGTATTCAATATTGTTTCGAAATAGTATAAGTATCATGTTCGGTGCTCTTATTTTGTTAAATAAAATTATAAAATTTATTTATTTTTTATTACGTGTATATTTTTATTGCGCTTCGTAATTTATTATAATTTTATTTTCAATTCATGTGAATTGCACTGTTATATATGTATTTGATCATTTGATCATAATTTTTATTTATGTAAATTATTTATATGTTTGCATGTTACTAATATGGGATGATAAGAGTTATTGAGACCGACCACCTAAGTAACATGAGCAGTAACGATGTGAAAAAATATATGTCTAAATGTTGGGTTTATATCTCATTGGGTTTGTTTTATCATTGTGGAGTTAGGAAAATAAGTTACGTTTTATCAATTGATCGGATTAAAACGTTGAGTTGTTGCCAAATCCAGGCGATATTTTCGTTAACTTTGAAGCAATAATAATAACTCGTTATCTGATAGTTTTGATATAGAGTATATCAATTGAAATCGAAATATAAATTATTCGATTCCCGTTTGATAATTAGCTGAACAATATGCTCTTTTGTGTGTTTTTTTCATAAGAGCTTCTTTATTATACGATTTTATTGATGATTTTTAAATTTGGTAATCGTGGAAATCCTTCTTTTTCTCTTTAAATACGGAATAGATGTATTTTAATTCCTTCGCTACGAATGTCGTCTATGGACGACATCCCCTCCACTACCTGTGTGTACGAGTGTCGTTCATGGACGATATCCGTACGACGTGCTGTGTGTACGGGTGCCGACATGTTTTGTATCGGTCTTTGTTTCAAAATATATCAATATGAGTTATACTATTGGTAATTTTAATTTTTAGTGTTTTTTAGTTCAATAGAAGCGCAAATTTTAATTCAATACATTTTTATTAATAATAATAGAAATATCTTAATATAAATCGTTGTGCCTGCTCCGTTCAGTAGCGCTATTAATGGACACACCGTTTCGTACAGCAACGACACTCCTGTGGAAAACCCTCTCGTAGCGAAAGGGTTAAATGCTGTTAATTGAAATAAAATCATGTCAAATAAAATTGTCTGTTGCTTTTTTATACAATTGAATATCGATGAAGTTTGCGTTATCTATTTCAATTACAGGAATATAAGCGTCGTTCGATGCTAAATTCGATGGGCGGCGAGGCTCATCGCGAGTGTGAAACAGAAACCGAAACTGACCCCCGTGATTCAACGGGCGTTCCACTGGCTTCCCTGGGGGCATCGAGCGGGTCGCTTTCGTCTAGCGTGTCTTTGTCTGATCGAAGCGCCTCGACGGATTGCGTGGAGGAGTTCGTTGGAGATGTTCCTTTTGCAGGTTAGTGGAAATATATTTTACTTTTAAATATTGCACATTTTTAGTTAATTATCGGGGACAAGAAAATATTTTAAGATTGTCTTGCAAACATGTTTTTGATGACTTTTGACGATTACACGCGACAGTTTCAAAGTATAACTCGTCATAGGTCTGTCTATAAACGAGGCAGTGTACGGTCTATGCATGCCGGCTGTGAGCGACGTTTCGTGGACAGTAGGCGCCGTACCGAAGTGGTTAATTTAGTCTTTGCATTTGCATAATAATTATTCGTACATGACGTATCTCTATATGAACTATCAAGTTATAATTCAGGGTATTTTTTGAAAAGTAACGACGTACGTGATTGATTTTATGTTCGTTGTGTTGCCAAAACATAATATGTTTAATGTAAAGCTGATTTAAATAATATCTCAGTTTTCTAGTCATTTCTTCATATTCTTTTTTTAATTTAAGTTTTTTTATAGATCAACTTCTTTTAATCTTTTAATTGCATTTTACCGTTTACAATAATCTTTTCTGCCTTTTTAATAATATAATAATTTAGTAATTATGCAGTTATCGATGTCTTGACATGCCTTCACATTTTTCATGATTTTTTCATTTCAACATGATCACGATTTTTAAAATATTTTAATGTTTTGCGAGTTTGGTTTCGTCTTCTACTTAATTTCCATATTAAAAGTTACTAGATGATGTAGCATTTTGCCTTTAGGTAAGATGCGAACTTGTAATAATCTATTGATAAATTTTGAAGAAACGCGGTCCATAATTCCAAATTTTGATAAATATTTATGATTAAACCACATTTTGTAGTCTCGCTATATAATAAATTATATGTTATATCATTATGTTCAATATTAATATAATATTTTAGCATGTTCGTTACGACGATGAACTTTATCGTTATACAGAGTTTTATCATTATCGTCTAAAAAAAATCTACAATTAATTACGAAAAAACAACACTGCCGATTTTTGCCAAAAACCAATCACCATGATTTTCAATTGATATTTTTTGAGCAGTTTGTGAATTTTCAAAAGCGTTTCCGGATTTTTGACGAAAGATTTTTGACGTAGACGAAAAACTTTCTACATTTCTGCTAAGTCATCCAGAAAACATAACTAGCAAATCGGATTTTGTGGCGAAAAACATAAACTTCTCTTTTGGAAAGTTAGTATAATAAAATTTTATCTCCTAAGCATAAAAAAATTGTTGCATATAATTATAATGTAAAAGAAGTAGCGGAATGAAATCCTAGAACAAATGCCTAATTCATTATTACCTAGATAATGTCAAGTAATAATTTATATTCTGTTTATAAAAGTAAAGTGAATGAAAAACACTTAATAACATCAATAAAATTTGAACTCAGATATTCCATTTTTTGGAGATATTGATATTTTAACCCTCGGTAGCTGGTGGTTCGCGGTAGCTCTGTATGAATAATATTTTTTATTCTACATTTAATATTCTTCATGCATCAGTTAAAATATTCATATAACTAATGCAGAATATAAATATTTCTCGATTCTAATTCTAGATCTACGTTATCTTACTATTAGTATGTTGCAACATATCAAAATAGCATAACGAAGTTTTCGAATCTTGTGATACGATATCAAATTTATGAGCATGTTGCTCAAATATCATGTTTCTCTCTTGCAACAGAAAAGTCGTTCTTGAGATGCCCGGAGAACAATACAACATATTTATTTAATTTCAGAACATCGTGTAATTGATCATATTTCATGAATTGTTTAATTATTTGATGTTATTTGAATTATTATTTTTTAAAATTATCAATCAATATCTCAACGTATCAAATTATTAATCAACATATTATAACGTAAACAGTCATACTAAAATTATTCTCACTGAATTTCATCTCTTGTTTACCAAAACAATTTTTTATGATTTATTGTAATCGTCCAAAAATCAAAATTGAAAGGTACGATGCCATACACCACTAGTTTAATTTCAATGATTGTTAATATTTTGATTTACTTTTTCAATTTATTGCTGGTACGATATTTAAAAAAATAGCCTACTATCACAAAGTTTATTCCATCTTGATAGTACGTTTGTAATGTACTAATATAATGTTTCTATGCAAGAAATCAGGTGTTTCAAACGATCAGTTGTCAGCTTGTATAAATTTATGACTGCAATACTACATATTATACGCATCAATGCCAACCATTTCTATAAGGCGTATAATTTATTCAAACATGCATTTATATTAATAAATATGCGAAAACAATTGGTTTAGTTTTGCGATTTATTGTATGAATGAGATCAATTGTACCGTAAAGAAATAGGCGTTAAGGAAGGTTACCGAAGGTATCGAGAAAAATGCTAGACGTGGATATAATTTTTTTTTCATGTTGTTTGTTTTTTTTATATGTTTGTTCGGTTTTATTATTAATTGTATTTTTTTTTCAAAAATGTAATGACACAAATGAATTTGATTTTGAACAAAAATGCTCAATCGCAGGAACTTTTTTTTATTAATGTCATATAGAAATTGTAGTGCGTAATTTGCATAATCAATAAAGCCACTCGTAAATAAATCAATTATATAGAAGGTAATGATTTTTTCTATACTACTAAATTTTTATTTAATTTTTTATAACAGCAATCACTTTGAATGAAGAATCTTACAAATTTAAAAATCACGTAATAAAAAGTAATTGAAAACGCAATGCACTTCGAAATAATTTAAAAAAATTGATGCAATTATTATCGTTAAAACGCCTGCTGTTGTTCAAATTATTCGATATTTTTAAATTATGTTTCACTGAATTTTAATTAGTATCAAATCGTTTGGTAATTTATTTCGTTGATTGCAATTTTATACAAAATTTATATATGGTTTGAAACCTATTTTTGTTAAAGGATTGTGTGTAAAAAACTTGTATTAGTTTCTACCAATTTAAGACGATGGAAATGTGTTCAAGGGTATGAAAATATTAGAACTGATTGACAATTTTTTATCAATTTCCAAGAATTTTATTTGATCAAATTAAATTGTTTATGACCAATTTTTGACTCGTAGAATTTAGAATTGTGATTTATGGCGATCACCACATATGAATTAATAAACTCTGTTGCTAGCCTACAAATTCTCATCTCAAAAAAAAAAAATCTAGGCTTTTAAAAGTAACCAATTTATCCTCATCTATTTGTTGTGATTAGTGTTCTACATATATAAAATCTATTCTGATACCTCGCTAATAAAATAAACAAGTGTTAAATTTACTCGTTATATAATGCGGCGGATTACATCTGCTAAATTCCTTTTCTTACTTTAAATCAAACTTGAGAATTAATGAATAATTCTTAAATACTTGTATTTAAATTGACATCTGATTATTCGTGTGATATGCATTTTGCTCAAGGATAAAATAATAAGTGCTTAGTGCATTGATAACTACTATAAATAATGGCGGTTTACTAATCGTACAATTCTATATATCTAATTATATAGCTGATTTGTATTTAACTCGTAATTTAATCTAATCATAAAATATAATTAAGACATTCACTCATTTCTGAAAGAAAATGCATATGTTACTCAGACCACATGTGTTCAAAATCAAATGGAAGAAGTTAATCGAAATATGTTCGTTGTTTATTTTCACACCTGATAAAATAATTTTAACTAGCAGACTAATCACTGATCGTTTATTCGCATTCTTCTATTTGTATGTTAATACATAAACTTAATAAAAACATGATAGATTGTTAATATTAAATCTGATAATCAAACTTTATTTTGTCTGTTTCTGAATAATTTCTTTCAGTTTCTTGAAAATTCTATTTAATATTTTTTTTATTAAAAGTTTGAATATTTAGATTGATAATTAATTAATTATGCGATAATATGTTCAAAAAATTTAATTCCTATATAAAATTAATGCGTAAAGATATAACTATACACATTGTGATAGTATTGAGCCCGCTGTAGCGTAATAAGGACGTGTGCTAGCACAAACTAGTCCCAACCCCGGTCAGCACGATATCAGGCAGCGTGATATATTTCAAATTTAATCTCAAATGATAATCGCCTTAATTTCGTGGCATGACTGCATATAAAAATATGCAGTCAAAAATACTATTAAGCATAGTCATAATATGTCAGAAATAGGATATTGACAACTGCTGGGTTGCTTTTCAAACAAGTCATACAATAATATGTCAGAACAATTTCTGAATGTCCTTGTAATATGGGCAGGCTGTAAATGAAAAATAATTAAAAATAACATGGCGATTGTATATGCATTATATATAAGAAATATCGTAATGAAATCTATAACCTTTTTTAATTACCAGTTTTGTCAGATCGAAACTTTTTCTTATTGTCTCGTTTGCGTTTTTGAATTATCGACTCCGAGTGTACAATGCTTATGAGCCTGACCTTCCTTCGTCTCATGTTGTAATTTTCACCAATAATAATTATGTGCTGTATATAATTTCTGTGAAAATTATTGATCATTATACGATTTATCGTGATTGGAATTTGAATAAAGAAACAAACAAAACATAAAAATGCATCGCGGTACAAAGTGCAAATTAGTTGACGGTTGTGACCATAAAATGCAACTAGAAGAAAGAAATTTAAAATTTATTTTTGTAAATGAAATATGCGTTCGAAACCCCTTTCAAATTAAGCTATAAAATGTAATAGAAATCAACAAAATTTATTAATTCCAATAAACACCATTTTATAATATCAACTAGCTCAAGAATATAGTAATTTTTAGAGTTATCACAAGACGTTTTTTAAAGATGCATTTTAATATTTGGGCTCTCCGTGCATTAGTGGTTAGAGCTACGAGATTTCAATTTTAAAGTTTTAGATACGATACGCATCGGACAGTATGATGTCAAGCTGTAGTGACATTGGTTTTTACTTGGAAATATAGATAGCAATATGTTCCCAAATGAATAATATTTTATCAGTATTACAAAAATTATAATAATAAATTCATCAGATAGA